AAACAAAAATATCAATTTTTTTCCTATATTTAATCCATCCTCTCAAGACTGATTATTTTGTTATATCATATATTTGATAAATTTAGACAAGATTACAAAAATTGACCACCCGTTTCATAATATTTTTCGCATTGTTTGGTGACTTTAATGCCCATATAAACAAGTGATTAGAATAAATTTATATTGACCGGGCTTGGCAAAAAAATTTAAAGTATTTCTAAATTTATCAATATTATTTTTAGATTAGTAACTTTTTCTTTTTAAATATTATCGACCTGGCAGGTTTTTTAAATTTTATTATTCGACCTATTCCAAAAACCTCCATCCATTTATTTCATGTGTAATGTAAAATGCTAAACAATAATAAAAATAAAACTTAATCACGCTGGAAAAGATAATGATAAAGTTGGAAACATTTAACCATTAACTTTTTTGCAAAAAAACTCCCATTCATATAAATAAATTAAAATCATTTCTATATTATTGTTATATTTAATTATTGGGACTCGTTTTTTCATTTTCCGACATTTTATATAATATGGGATGTTGTTATTTTATATTATGATGTTTAAGAATGTGTTTTAATAAAATCAAATTGGGTTTTAAGCTGGAATAAAATTTTTTATAAATTTAATTTTAAAAAATAATTCATAATTTTGTCGCAAAAATATATTTTGGTTCTTATTTGCTTTTTCATCTGCCATATATATATAAATATATATATTTTTCTTTAATACCGATAATTTAAAAATAGCGACATATTTATGACTTTTAAATAGACATATTTTTTCCTCTTTCAACGTAAATAAAAAAATAAAAAATCATAAATAATATTTCAATATTTAAATATAATGAATTTTAAATATTTTTAATTTTCAAATTTGGCTCAAAGATTATTGGCGAAAAATTTAAGATGTCCTGAAAAAAAATATCCATAATTCCTTTTTATTCAAATGTGTTCGAGGTCTTGAGAATCTACCGACAAGGCTGAATATATATTTGCTCGGAAATTTTCATTTAATTCATCGATCATATATCTCAGTTTATATACCCATAAATTAGACTGAATTGAAAAAGAACTGATTTTTAATTTAATAGCTTTTAAAAAAATAACCCCGTCATTGGTACTCATGTTATTATCTGAAAATAAGAATTTTTATTTAATAAATGCTTTTGGTGGAGATGGAATACCAGCCATTTATTGAAGAAATGCGCGCCTGAAATAAAACCCGCCCTCTCTAAACTGTATAATTACTGCCTCAAAGGAATCATGTTTTCCTGACTGCTGGAAGTCCTCATCCATTGTTCCTGTGTTTAAGAACTCTACTGACCCTCTCTGTCAAAATTTAATTACCGTCCTATTAGTCTCCTACCCCTCTTCGGCAAATTCTTGAAGCCCTAATCAATGCCGAAGTGGTTAATCACCTCACATCCCATAATCTGCTCTCAGACAAGCAATATGGTTTCCGCTACGCCCGATCTACAGCTGATCAAAAAATTACGGCCATCACTGAAAAATATAACAATTCTTCAAAAAAAACGGTGAGATCGTAATGGCCCTCGACATCTCCAAAGCATTCGATAGGGTTTGGCACGCCGGCCTTCTTCGTAAGCTCCATTTTTATGGTATTATTTTCGATTGTTTGATCTAATACAATCATTCCTGTCAAACCGAGAATTGAAGGTCGTTCTCAACGGATTCTCCTCCAGTTCCTATCCCACGAACGCAGGTGTTCCCAAAAGGCTCCATCCTTGGCCCCACTCTATTCCTTATTTTCATCAATGACCTTCCTGACGCCATAGATTCCAAAGTTGGCATCTACGCAGACGACACTACAATTTACTCCTGCCTCAAAAAACAAATCTAGTGTCGGCGAAAAAACTAACCTTGCCGTGCGTCTTGAAATGGACCTCCAATCGGTTGTTAATTGGGGCAAGAATTGGCTGGTCAACTTTAACGCCTCAAAAACTAAACTACTCTCTATTAATCACCATAGAGATCCTTCCTTGCCCCCCATTAGAATGTCTGATAGTCAACTTCTTGAGAGCAACTCTCTGCGCCTGCTCGGTCTCACGTTGACTGCTGACCTGAGATGGAACAAATACATTGAGTCAATTGCTTCTTCCACCGCGAGGAAAGTTGGCTCTCTGTGCCGCGCCAGGAAATTTTTTCCCCTGAATCGATACTTCAAATATACAAATCAACCATTCGCCCTTGCATGGAGTATTGCTGCCATATATGGTCTGGAGCACCTCGGAGTTCTTGACAAGATCCAGAGCCGGATATGCAATATAATTGGCCCTGATCTGGGATCTCGTCTACAGTCACTCTCTCAGAGACGCGCCGTCGCCTCTCTCTGTCTTTTCTACAAATACTTTCATGGTAATTGCTCCGATGAGCTGCTTTCACTGGTTCCCAGACTCCATGAATTCAAGCGCCCTACGAGGCTGGCATCCCGCTCTCTCACCCTTACACTGTAGAAACTTTTAAATGTAGCCGTCTCTTCTACTCCAATAGCTTCATACCTCGCACCTCTCGCCTGTGGAACACCCTTCCCAATTACTGTTTCCCTGAGAGCTATAATCTCCAACTATTCAAATGTAATGTCAATCGACATCTCCAGTTACCTTGATCTATCCACTATCCTTCTCCTCATCCTTTCTTCTATCACTCCTATCTGCTCTCGCTCCAAATCTTCTGCAAACCCCTGCATCCTAGTGGCTTCACGCCTTGCTATAAATAATGCTAAAAAAAAAAAAAAAAATATATATTATATATATATATATATATATATATATATATATATATATATATATATATATTTAGAGAGAGAGAGAAAAAATAAAATCAGAAAAAAAAAAAAAAAACGGTAAAATGCCATCCTTATCAAGTTTATTTCTGGGATATAAAAAATATAAACATGTAAATTTAATTGATATCAATGAATAAACAATTGTGTTAAATTCAAAATTGAAAAAAAATTTAAATAAATATCAAAATATTTTTGATTTTCAATGGAGGAAAAAATGAATTTAAGAATTTTAGATATTCCAATAACATTCAGTCAATAGTATTAAATTCTTTAAAAAAATTTACAGAGCGAAAAAAATTCACGGGATCTGATATCAATTTGACTCTAGAATTTTTGATATGATATATATAAATGGGACCTAGATGAAATCAAAAACGGTAAATTCAAAAATCAACCGCATATATTTGTTATTTATTACATGCTCAATTTCAATTGCAGAGCCAGATGTTATTGGAAAAATATTCTTCCTGGCAGCCGGATTCAAAATTTTATAAAATGTTGTAGTGCTCTTTTGTTTTATTCTCGAATCCAATATATATATATAAATATATATATATATAAATATGAAGAATAATATATGAATAAAAAAAAAAAGTAAAAAAGCCTCCTTATATGCAGTTTTTTTTTTAATGTTAATATATTGTTTTTTTTTTTAATATTTTTTTTTCATATTTTCGGATCTATATCCATATATTTGCTTACGTATATATAAATATATATAGTTTAAAAAAACTAGGTAATCCGTATGGGTAAACATAAGGAGGATAAAATCCAGAGATTTTTTCAATGTAAATTCAATTAATAATTTAAATAAAAAACGGAAACCACTTTTAGTTTGGTCTGATTTTTATATATATATATATATATAAAAGAAAAAAAAAAATTTTTATCTCAACATAGAATAATTCTATTTCAAGCCGTTTCTACACGGCTATCATCAGCCCCCATTTTTTGTTTGTTATTTGAGCATTTGTGAATCATTGAAATCATTTAAAATTGACATATCTTCTATGTTGAGGTTTATTTTGTTTTTATTTTTTTTTTTAAGTTTTAAAAAATACATATGCCCTGTTATAATAAATATATTTATCTCTGTGAATTTTTTTTAACTAATATTACTAGGATCCACCCGGATTATATACCAACAGATCGATTTAACTATATATATATATATATATATATATATATATATATATATATATATATATATATATATATATAGATATATAGATAACTAGACTAAAATTTTGAAAAAAACCCTCGAATTTTTTGATTTGCTAATCAAATCAATCTCGAGGAAAAAATTTTTAAAAAAAAAGATTTTACAAACATGAAAATTGCATTGAAAAAAAATCACACAGATGCAGGTCTGAAGCCCAAAGAAAAAAATAGATAAATAACAAATTTATATAAAAGAGCTCAATACATAAATAAAGCAGACCAACAGAAAGAGACAGAATAAATTTTGACAAAAAAAAAATTAAATTTGGGGTATTTCAAAAACGGATCGTCACAAAAGAAAATCAAATGTTATTGGTCAATAAAAACTAATATAGGTTTGTATGAAAATATATGTTTATAAATAAATTTTATATATATATAAATATATATATATATATAAATATATATATTCATATATTTTTATATTTATATTTTATTTTCATTCTGGAGAAAAAATGTAATTTTCGGAACTTTTATAAAAAATTAAATTTAAAACTTTCTGCTCTGGTAAAAAAAAGTGCTTATATCTCGTATATAAGTTTGTTAAAAATTAAATATATTATGAGCTCTCTAAGGGTGAGAGTCTCCGTCTGATGTAACAGCGGTCGAGTTTCGATCCTATTTTGAAAAACAATTGATATGTCAAGCCACATTTCTTAAACTGTTTCCGGGAAACACCCTGTCCATCATTGGATGAATATATATATATATATATATATATATATATATATATATATATATATATATAAATACTGCATTAACTAGTTTATTTTTACCTAACTAGTAAAATACTTTCCTTCGATCCGTTTAAATTGAAACAGAAAGGTAGGTTTGTGAATACTAACTAACTATATATATATATATATATATATATATATATATATATTATATTTGTCGATTATACGCCTTTTAAAAAATTGACAAAATTTAACTTTGCGATGTTATGCTACAGAAACGCGTTACCTGATGAGCTACATCCTTAACCTCCCATTGGAATTGAAGCCAGTGAAATTGTCGGGGCGGGGAGGCATCTGTACAATAGATAAATTCTGCAAATGGCATAGTCACGAATTTCCATTGATTTTTTTTTTTTTTTACGAGCCTGTTTGACGTCCGGTGGTTGCAAGGGAGAGCGGCGTAGTACGCGGTGTCACACGACTCAGATAGAACTAGACAGGAAAAGAAAGAAAAAAGACAATAATTGAAAAGCACAGATAGTGATGGCGAAAAGAAAGGAACATTTTTTAAAAATAAATAAATAAATAAACGCCGTCAGGCAAGAGCGAGAGTAAAATGGAGAAAAAAGCGGGAAAATGATAGCGCAGGAACGGCAAAAATTGAACGAGGCAGACGATAATGTTTGGTTTAAAGAGAAGCAGAAATATCTCTTTCTTTCTCTTTCTTTTTCTCTCTATATATATATATCTCTCTCACTTTTGAATATATATGTATATATATATATATATATATATATTCAAAAATTATAATATAAATATTATATTATATTATATATAACGGGTGTAACAACAAAATTGTCCAAATCGTGTAACAATAAAATTGTCCAATTGTTAGATTAAGCTCTGAACCGTTGTATCTTAGAAAAGATATATTTTTTTCTTCCTATAACACTATAGGGCTTTACTTTGAGCAATAAAAATGTATAATTACTCTCCAAGCGTAAGAGAAGAAACGTGATGAAATCGATCATAAACGAAAATGACATGTTCACCATTAATTAATCATCGCTAAGGAGCGGAAGCTCATGAAGGATTGAAACAATGTTCAAATTATATATATATAATATATATATATATATATATATATATATATATATATATATATATATATGAATGTTCATCCAACACATGGCCTGTTGTCCTCAGTGTCTTCCTATATATATACACAGAAAATATTCGTCCTCGGACATTCAGGCCGGTAAATGTTATTTAATACTGTTTATTATAAACAGAGCATTTACTTAAATATTTATCTATAAAAAAAAGAACGTTAAAAAAAAAATATATATATAAAAAAATTCTTAAATTTTAATATTCCATGGTCATAATTTATATGATTGGAATTTTATTTACGATTTGTTATTTCAATGACTAACAAATGGAAGATTGAAAAAAAAACAACATTTTTTTAATATTCATAAACCCCTTCCACCGAGATTAAAAATTCAAAAATTTGTTCGATATGGATGCAGGTTCAAAATGTCAAAGAACCAATATTTCCTAAAATTTCTCGGAAATTTGTTTTTTTTTCTGGAGTTTTTTTTTCTGTTTTATTTTTTGCATTTGTAGGTCTGATGAAAAAAAAAAGAACGTTTACGATTCCAATGGAATAAATTATGACCAATATTATTCCATTAATAAGCTTTTTTTTATTATATCCAATTCATCTGTCCAAACAAAAAAACAACCTTTTCTTTAACTCCTTGAAAAACCTCTCCTAAAATTCTCTATACATTTATATATTCCTCCTCATAATCTCATAAATGTATTTTTTATTTCTAATAGTTATTTTTTCTATTTTCTTTTTATTTATCTATCTGATATATATATATATATATTTAAATATATAAATAATAAACCATGAAAATTATTAGTGTCAGTTATATCAGAGTGTTATAGTTTACCTGGATTCAACTCTTGAATTTTTATTCTAAAATATACATGTTGAAGCCATAGCCCAACATATCATACCATCTATCTAGATCCATTTTATATATATATATATATATTTTATAATATATATATATTATATAATTGGATTCGAACCCGCAACCCTGATCTTTTTTTTTTTTTTTCGCAGTTTTCGTGCAAATTACATTCCGATTGTTTTTCATAAAATCTTTTTTTTTTTTCCGTGAATTTTTGCGACGAATTTTTTGTACGCTAACAATTTTTATAACTTGGAAATAAATTTGGGAATAATCGAAATTAATTGCGAAATCAAGCGAAAATCACCCCTGAAATAAAAATAATTGATTGTAAAGGACGTAAGGACCTACGTACATCAAATTGTCTTTAAATTAAGTGGCGACAGAAGAATTATCGTTGAACTTTCAAAAGGTAAGCTGAAATATTAATGCAATACTTAAATACAGCGATCAATTTTGAGTTCTTCTGTAGTGTATTGTTGCCTATCGCATCTACTCCTCCCTACCTATAGTGATAAAGGCCCAGGTGCTACCTTAAATACCACCCGATAGGGCGACTTTTTTATATATATATATATATATATATATATATATATATATATATATATGAAATTTTATTTCGTTTTTCTAATATTCTCACATTTTTCATTTTGTTGGAGGTAAAGGAGTGACAAAATTCTCCGTAGGGTCTATTGTCCCAAACGCTTTCAGTCACTTATTTAGCCATTTTGAAGGGGTTTGTTGTTAAGGCGCACCACAGTTCATCTACCAAGTATTATTGTAAGAAGGATTATCAAGTTCGAAGTTTAACCTTATTGTATGGTAGAAGGTAAACTATACCTACAATTTACTGTTAACTCACTTCTTTGGTTTAATAAAGAGTCTTTAGCAGTAAATTTTATAATTTTTATTTTCTCATGTAAGGATAGGAAACAAGTTTCATTTAAAGATGTAAACGTTCAAGCTTTTTTTAATACTTTCTATTTTACCCTAGGGTTTTTATTAACTTCTTTCAAATTCCAAATATATTTAGAAAGAGATGTACTATTTTTATAAGTACTATTGGTGAAGGATATGATATGTTGGTACCATCTAGTCTTAAAAGATTTCTTAGTACTCCCAATATAAATTTTTTCAATAGTCGGATTTTCTGTTGTAGAAATAGTACTTAGATAAACAAGAGTGTTGGACATACATTGGTTTTGCAAGGGCATTCGTTAGAATTCCTGGAATTATGTTGATTAATATTATCAACGGTATTTTTCTTGGGATTTGCATTATCATCCATTTAAAAAAATTGTTATTATGTTTCTTTATAATCTTCTCAAGATTATCGACGGAACTATAACATACTTTTTGTGTGTTTCTGTTACATATTTTACTGAAAGTACTATTTCTACGGAAATCTTTTTCAGTTAAGTGACGAAACGTTTGGCCTAACTTAGTACTGACCATTTGGTTAAATGGGGGGGTGTACCAAAAGATTTTCCTACGTCTATTTCTTTTCCTTAGACCCATATTTTTACGTTTCCTGTACTATATTTCTGCGTAGACCTTCGTTGTGAAATGCGTAACAGGTGTATGCACGAACAAGCACAATAACACTACAGATAAGAAGAGCTGGACAGATACTACACTTTGATCCTCGTTAGGAAAGCGTAACAGTTGTGTGAACAAACAAGCAAAATAATGCTACAGATCAGAAGAGCTAAGAGTTGGCCAGTTACTACACTCTGATCTTCATTAACAAAGGGTAACAGTTGTTTGCACGAACAAGCAGAATAATACCACTGATCAGAACAGCTGCGGTTTGGACAGATACTACACTCTGATCTTTGTTAGGAAAGCGTAACTGTTGTATGTACGAACAAGCAGAATAATACTACACTCAGAAGAACTGGGAATTGGACAGATACTACACTCTGAGCTTCAGTAAGAAAGTGTAACAGTCGTATACACAAACAAGAAATTTGATCGTCGAGATCTGAAAGGACTGAAGTATAAATTAATCTTTTCCTTCTTCTCTTCACTCATATTTTCCACGGTTTCCTTCACCATCTTTACTCCTCATCCACATCATTTCCCCCCCTTCTCTTTCTTTATTTCTTTTACCTCCAATTTTCTCGTTTCCTTCGTCATCGCCTTTCTCTTTCACTCTCTCCTCCTCCTCTTTCTTCTTCCCCTCTTTCTTTTTCATCTTCCATCTCCTTCACTTCCACTTTCCGCGTTTTCTCTTTTATCGCTTTCTCCTGCACTTTTCTCCGTCTTCGGCTTTGTCTTTCGTCCTCTTACATTTTACTGTCGTATACCGTCTTTGCGTTTTCCTTTCCTTTCTTTGTTATTCTTCCATCTTGTTATTTTCCTCCTGCTACTACTCTTTCTCAGCTTTTCTCGTCTCCTCTTCCTTCCTCGTCTTCGTCTCCTCCTCCTCTTTCTCCTCCTCCTTCTACTTTATCAACTCTTCCTTTCGTTCATAATAACCGTCTGTTTCTCTTCATTTTTTCTTTTATCTACCTTCATGCTTTTTTGCAGAAAAGTATAATGTTCGTATTGTCTGCTCAGATTCGAGATCCTCTAAAAAAAATAACATCTTTGGTTTGAATGTATGAGTCTGGAATTCTTAAAGATTTAATTTCCCCCCTAAAATTTAGCATTTTTTGGTTTTATTCGTCCCCGGCGAATTCTGGTTGCCTGTGGCTGAATCTGACCACGTTTATGTTGTTGACAATAAGAAAACTAAACTGAGTAAAAGAATTGCTACAAAATGACCATAAAAGAAGCGGAAAAAACAATCAATCTTGACAGAAACCCTATAAAGAATGAAAACGTCTTGAAGGCAGCAAAAAATAAAAGAAAAAGGACATTAGTAGCGAAAGAATGGAAAAAAAGTGAAAATAATTACCAGACAAAGTATCGAAATAAAAAAAAATGTAGGTGAAAGATCGGAACATAAAGTTAAAAAGCAAAATAAATAATATCGATGGAGAACTGAGAATTTAAAAACAAAAAGAAATAAAAAAAAAGTGCATCGAAAAAAAAAATGAATGCAAAAAAAAAGGCGGGAAAAAGGATAAGAAATGTCGGAAACAGACGATAACGAATGATCAGATCAGAAACGTGGTCAGGAAAAGGAAAATTGTCGAGGGTCAAAGGAATGAATAAGGCGATGTAGGGTGGTGGGCAGGTTGTCCACTGTTAGTTTCTATGGCGTTGAAAGAAATTAATACTCGTATCATAACCGAATCTGGTCAGATATTCAAGACAATGAATGTCTTTGTGCACTGACCCGCAGTCAAAAATTGCAAAGTTATTGAATTCAAACAAGACGTGAATATCTATGAAGAACTTGTCGTCGGCTTTTGTCTCAGTAATAAAATCAGTAAGCGCATATTCACGCATACACATCGATAAGGACGTGCCCATGTTGTTGGAAGATCTGAGATGTAGTAACGTCATTATCTAATAAATTATTCAGAGAGAATTTTCAACATTACATTAGGCTGCTACAGTTAATAGAGTACATTTGCCTTGTGCGTGTATATAGTTTACAGTTTCTGTTAAGATTTTTTTTTTTTTACTTTATCTTCATGAAAATCGTGGTTAACTAAAAATCAGCGCCGGTGAGGCCACATACGTTTCGTGTAGGGGCAATACGACGTGGAGGAAAGGTTATCGAGCTTGTTTGACAAGATCAATTTACAGCCGTATGGTGAGTTCGATCCTCACTGGGTACCCCCATACATTCGGCCGTTTGACACATCTAAGCTACGGTTAGAAAATCACCACCAGGAGAGTATATTGGTCAGCAATCCCGTCTCGCGAGAACAATTTACGACTGAGTAGTGAGTTTGATCCTCACTGGGTACCCCCATATATTCGGCCGTTTGACACATCTAAGCTACGGTTAGAAAATCACCAGAAGGGCAGTATAATGGTCAGCAAGCCCGTCTCGCGAGAACAATTTACGACTGAGTAGTGAGTTTGATTCTCACTGGGTACCCCCATACATTCGGCTTTTCTGCTCTTAGAAAATCGCCATACTTTTCTTGTAGGAGGGCTAGGCCAAAAATTTCGAGGCCCGACCCAGGACGATTCAGACAGACACCCAGTGAGTATCGAACTCAGTTCAGTAATGCTCAATCAATGTAGTTTCGCTATATAGTGAAGTGCCCATTTACTTCTTTTGCTTCTTCTTTGGGCCGTGTCCATTCAGGACGTTGGCGGTCATGCCTCTTCACAACTTCCTATCCTACGTTGCTTTTAATAAATTCTGACTTTTTGATATCCCTCCTAAGCCCAGCTCTGCCACCCGTTTATTCGCGCAGGCTAAGTTTTCTCTGCCCTTCTTGCCTTCAATATGTCCTGTGAGTAGGAAATTTTCCAAACCCTCTTTTCTCATTATGCTCCATAGAAACTTCAGCAGTTTCTTTATATTAAGCATAAGGACTTTTTTTTTGTTTCCATTTTCTCTAAAATCTCGCCGTTGCTCTCATGTTCAGTCCACGGTATCCCCAACATCCACCTGTAGAACCACATTTCTATGGCTGCAAGTCTCTTCTTCATTTATGAGGAGATTATCCATCATTCACTGCCACACAGAAGGACTGATATTACGTAACAGTTCAGCAATATTTCTTTGTTTCTATTGCTTCAAGTCTCTTCTTCTGTGAGGAGATTGTCCAGCATTGACTGCCATATAGGAGGACTGATATTACGTAACATTTCAGCAATCTTTCTTTGTTTCTGTTGCTTCAAGTCTCTTCTTCATCTGTGAGGAGATTGTCCAGCATTCACTGCCATATAGGAGGACTGATATTACGTAACAGTTCTGTACTCTTTTCTTTCTCTTTTATGATTTATGAGCACTAGTCTAGTTGGCAGAAGCTGATAGCTAAATGGGAGAGACAAAACGTTTGATAGCTAATTGGAGACCAAAATGTTTCGCAGCTAATTAGAGACCAAAAATTTTAAAAATTAATAACGGCCAAAATATTTAATAGTTAAATGGAGGCCAACATGTTTGATAGCTAAATGGAGTTCAAAATGCTGAACCTATGAATAGAGACAAAATGTTTCCTAGCTAAACGTAGACAAAAAGGCCAACTTGTTTGATAGCTAATTGGAAGCCAAAATGTTTTCTAGTTAAATGGAGGCCAAAATATTTGATAGCTAAATGGAGGCCAAAGTATTTGATAGCTAAATGGAGGCGAAAATGTTTAATAGCTAAATGCAGGCCAAAATGTCTGATAGCTAAATGGAGGCCAAAATGTTTTTAGTTAATTGAAGGCCAAATCTTTGATAGCTAATTGGAGGCCAAAATGTTTGATAGCTAAATGGAGGCCAATATGTTTAATGGCTAAATGGATGCCAAAATATTTGATGGTTTAATGGAGGCCAAAATGTTTCATAGCTTAATGAGGCCAAAATGTTTGATAGCTAATTGAAGCCAAAATGTTTGATAGCTAATTGGAGGCCGAAATGTTTCATAGCTAAATGGAGGCCAAAATGTTTCATAGCTAAATAGACATAAAATGTCTGATAGCTAAATATAGATAAAATCTTTGATACCTAAAGGGAGACAAAATGTTTCATAGGTAAATGGAGACAAAATGTTTGATACCTTAAGGGAGACAAAATGTGTGAGGCAAATAGAGGCCAAAATGCCTGATAGATAAATACAGAAAACATGTTTCGTCGTTGATGACTCCATTGGACTAATCTGATGATCAAGTTAATGCAACTACGCATGCGCACATATGTGAAAGGACGCTGAAAATTTTAAACAGTAAAATTTAATTTATTTTTTTAAATATGCTTTTGTTTAGAGTCTAGCCGATTCCATGTCGCTTCTTTTTGTTTACGTTTCCATCACATTGTGATAATAGATCTGTCAAGGAAGGTGAAATGTTGCCAGAACCTGGACGCAAATTTACTGTAGATTATCTAACGATTAAGACAATTTATAAACACTTTCAAGTTTTGAAAATTCCTTTCTCTTTTAACTAAAGTGGCATTTTTGAAAACGAAACTCTGGCCGGGCGCATTACGATGAGCTACTAATGTACTCAGTGTGTTGTTTTGGAAAAGATCCCTTTTGTATTCATATACATTCGTCATAAATGAATAGATAGATAGATAGATAGATAGATAGATAGATAGATAGATAGATACTTTGGTTTGGTTTATTTTATTTTATTTTATGGCATATCAACCTCAATGGGTTATTTAATGCCGGCAACATTTTTAGGATAGATTCGTATGAATAGAACATGTATTCTTTGGTTTAGATTGGTTTGGTTTATTGTGTTTTACGTCATATCAACCTCAATTGGTTATTTAATGCCGGCAACATTTTTAGGATAGATTCGTATGAATAGAATATGTATTCTTTGGTTTAGATTGGTTTGGTTTATTTTATTTTGCGGCATATCAAGCTCAATGGGTTATTTAATGCCGGCAACATTTTTAGGATAGATTCGTATGAATAGAGTATGTATTCTTTAGTTTAGATTGGTTTGGTTTATTTTGTTTTATGGCATATCAACCTCAATGGGTTATTTAATGCCGACAACATTTTTAGGATAGATTCGTATGAATAGAATATGTATTCTTTAGTTTAGATTGGTTTGGTTTATTTTGTTTTATGGCATATCAGCCTCAATGGGTTATTTAATGCCGACAACATTTTTAGGATAGATTCGTGTGAATAGAATATGTATTCTTTGGTTTAGATTGGTTTGGTTTATTTTGTGTTACGTCATATCAACCTCAATGGGTTATTTAATGCCGACAACATTTTTAGGATAGATTCGTATGAATAGAATATGTATTCTTTGGTTTAGATTGGTTTGGTTTATTTTGTTTTACGGCATATCAACCTCAATGGGTTATTTAATGCCGACAACATTTTTAGGGTAGATTCGTATGAATGGAATATAATTCTTTAGTTTAGATTGGTTTGGTTTATTTTGTTTTACGGCATATCAACCTCAATGGGTTATTTAATGCCGACAACATTTTTAGGATAGATTCGTATGAATAGAATATGTATTCTTTGGTTTAGATTGGTTTGGTTTATTTTGTTTTACGTCATATCAACCTCAATGGGTTATTTAATGCCGACAACATTTTTAGGATAGATTCGTATGAATAGAATATGTATTCTTTGGTTTAGATTCGTTTGGTTTATTTTGTTTTATGGCATATCAACCTCAATGGGTTATTTAATACCAACATTTTTTATTGCTGGTAATATTTTGTTTTGTCAAAAATCTGTTTCTGTTACTATTTTTCCTTTAAAATTGTATTACTGGTAATACGTTTTTCGAAACAAGTAATGCTGGTAATAGTTAACTATTTTCCCATAGCTGGGACCCTAACAGGTGCTACCACCCCGTGTCAGGGTGGACCTGGGGACACCAGCAATTAAGAGGTCGTTCCACGCTCCTCAAAACCTCCTGATCAGAGGCCTTGCTGCTGGACGTAGTTTAACGTCTTACCCAGGTCGTCTGACATAGATAGATAGATAGATAGATAGATAGATAGATAGATAGATAGAAGGTGGTCCGAAAGTTTTGTCACCGCCTACCAAATATTTAAATTGCCCGAGGTTTCTCCTATGAATGACTTAAGGCGATTATCACACGGCGATCTTGTGCCTATATGTATAGCAAGAATGAGAAAATAAATAGTTTTATAAAATGGATACATTGTATTCTGGAGAGTAAGGAATATTGTCACGTAGAAACAAATTGGGAATAAATATGAACAGAATGAGAATAATAGATAGATAGATAGATAGATAGATAGATAGATAGATAGATAGATAGATGAAGAACATATTTAGATAGATAGATAGATAGATAGATAGAAAATCTCTCTTATATCCGGGTTTCTCTTATATCCAGGTTTGGTCTATTTTGTATACATTAAAACACGCTCTAATTTGGGACCAGAGAAAAATCACTCTTATATCCGGGTTCCTCTTATATCACGGGTTTGGTCTATTTTTATATATATTAACACATTTTTTAATTTTCGGACCAGTGAAAATCTCTCTTATATCCGGGTTTCTCTTATATCCGGGTTTGGTCTATTTTATATACATCAACACAGGCTTAATTTGGGACCAGAAAATCTCTCTTATATCCGGGTTTTTCTCTTATATTTAAGGTTTGGTCTTTTTTATATATTTAACACAGGCTGTAATTTGGGACCAGTGAAAATCTCTCTTATATCCGGGTTTCTCTTATATCCGGGTTTGGTCTATTTTATATACATTAACACAGGCTCTAATTTAGGACCAGAGAAAATCTCTCTTATATCCGGGTTCCTCTTATATCCGGGTTTGGTCTATTTTATATACATTAACACAGGCTGTAATTTGGGACCAGTGAAAATCTCTCTTATATCCGGGTTTCTCTTATATCCGGGTTTGGTCTATTTTATATACATTAACACAGGCTCTAATTTAGGACCAGAGAAAATCTCTTATATCCGGGTTCCTCTTATATCCGGGTTTGGTCTATTTTATATACATTAACACAGGCTGTAATTTGGGACCAGTGAAAATCTCTCTTATATCCGGGTTTCTCTTATATCCGGGTCACACTGGGGTGACAAGATTTTCGGACCACCCTGTAGATAAATAGATTGTGCTCAGTTTTTAACCAAAAACCCCTAGCGAAAGCGCTAATACCTAATATGATCAGATCGATTATAAAAAAAAAGATTAACTGATTAATATCGTCCACAATTCTTTATTAGTCTGACTCAGCTGTTCTCTCTAATGTAGACGAATAAAGGCATGTTTCATGTCGAATCTAATTTTCCCTTCAACAGGATATCCGGCTGCTATCGGTTGATTTCATCTAAATTGCTAAGCCAATATACCTTTTATCAATGAACGTATTTTGCTAACAAAAAAAAAAAAAGCCTTTACATTTTTTTTTATCACAACTTTTGTTTTTTTATTTTTTATTTTATTTGTATGTCGAAGTTGTGTGGATTTCCCTAAGTGGGTATCTACTTTAAAGTAAGGAGGAGACGTGGTCGTGTTTGCTTCGTATCGTTTCGTTCAATTTTTTTTTTTTTTTTTTTAAATTTATGAGCCGGATATTAATTACGCTTTGTTTTGATTTCCCGTTTAAATGTGTTAAACATCGGATGCCTTTGTTTTGATAAACTCTTTTAGTTGTTGTCTGTAGACTGTGTATTACCTTAGTTACAAATGTGAGTTTTTCCCGCTACACAAATGCAGAAATTGATCTCGCCTGTCTACCGTCTCAGGGACAATAAAAAAAAAAAAGAAAAGAAAAAAAGACGTCCCCCACCAGAGCCGAAACAACCGAATTGGGTGGGTTGTTTTTTGGACCTTCTTGTGGCTTCTGCCATTTTATTTTTTATTCATATTTTTTTTTTTATGGCCATCCGCCAATTTTTTTTTAATTATTTTTAAACTGACGTTATTGCAATTAATAATATACATCGTGTATCTGCATATATATGTAAGCAAATATATTGATATAGATCCGACAGTATGAAGAAAAATATACGGAAAAAACAAACAAAAATCCTTATATACAATTATGCTATTTTAATGTTAATATGTCAACGTCGGACGTTTCGGTCTAATAAACCATCTTCAGGACATATTCATAAAATATAATTAACATTATCAATACAACATGACAAAGACGATGTACATAAGAACAAGACTTAAACAAACAGATGACTGAAATCTTTTATAAGATCAGCGCTCCGTTTAAATATGATCACGTTGTCGTCACGTGGGCGACGCTGTGAAAACGTATTCCTAAAATTTGAGTATTTTGAATGAAAAATGAAAAGAATTCTATTTTGATCTAAAATTTATATGTACGCTTGTCGAGCATTAATCTCGCTAGAAAAATAAAATACTAAAAAGCCAGGTCTAGTGTTCACCGTGCGTGAGATGGATATTATGCCTGCTTCATAAATCCGCCTAATTTTTTTATTATTTAAAATATTTTAAAATCTTCACGGAATCAAAATCGAAATTATGTACATCGTCTTTGTCATGATGAATTGATAACATTAATTATATTTTATATATTCAGTTATAATACTGAAAAAGGGTGTGAGTTGGGGGTCTACTGTAACATACATTTGTCGTTCATATGTATAAAGACTTCATCTATAACGTTAGCTTTAAGTGTCATGAATGAAACGAAATTTTATTTATATTTCCATTATATATCTATAATAAATTTTGTTCAGGGTTTTTTGGTTGCTTTTTTATAATAGTTAAAAGAGAATGGAAAGTTTTTGTTTATCATTAAAATGGTGTTGTATATTGATGTTATCAACAAGTATTTTCCTGTATTATGAAGGTGAAAGGAATGTGTTTTAAAATGTTGTTCGATAGAAATTGTATCCGAACAAATATTGTAAGACGTCTTGATAATGTTACCGTCAAGCCAACATATGTAATTTCATTTTATTCAGAATACAAAGATCTTTTAAACTGATATACAATGTTGGTATTTTTCAAAACACTAGTTGACGTAGAAGAGTTATTGCATATGATTGTATATGGAAAATATTGGTTGTATTAAATATTTAGTATGATATATAATTAGTTTTAATTTGTTTTACTAAGATCAGTGAGAAATATATTAGTACTTATAAGATTTTTAGGAATTTTTAATATCTTTTTCATAGTTAGAATCTATTTTATTACGGTATAATAGGTTGATATATTTCGAGTTATTTGAAGATTTTATGTTAAGGTTTATGTTAATATTTCTAATATATATATATATATATATATATATATATATATATATATATATATATATATATATATAAAAAAGGAAAATTGTAACAAGTTGCCGACGCGTTTCGCCCAATGTGGACTTTCTCAAAGCAAAAGACGAAATGAAAATTTGATAGATAGATAGATAGAAATTGGGATAGATAGATAGATAGATAGATAGATAGATAGATAGATAGATAGATAGATTAATGAAGAAACTGGGATAGTGTTGAAACTTGAATAAAGCATGGAATAATAATAATACAACACAAAATGTACTGAAACAAAATGTATTGAAAAAAGAAAGTGTACACAATATTTACAGATAGTTTGGTATATTCTTGGGAAGACCGTTCCTGTAGAATGGGTTGACTTAGTCTTGAGTCGGGCAGAGTATCTGGATTGGATCTCTCTTTGAAATTCCCCGTTCTTCCCGGTACCAACCATATTTAATGGTCGGTACTCCCATGATAAATAAAAAATGGATTTACCACAACAGATAGATAGATAGATAGATAGATAGATAGATAGATAGATAGATAGATAGATAGATGAATAGATATGAATTGTAGATGATAAATATAGATAGATAGATAGATATAATAGATAGATAGATAGATAGATAAAAAATGTAGTTAGATACAGATAGGGGACGTCGATAACATTCCAACCCAACGTCTCATCAGGTGTCTAACTCAGCCTGATGAGACCTTTAAATGGTCGAAAAGACTCAGCTGTAATGAGATTCATATGAGCAAAAACCACCTGATAAGAACTTGGCGGTAGTGTTATCTTCAGTGTTTTTTTTTAATATTTTTTAAAGATATATATATATATATATATATATATATATATATATATATATGAATCGCAAGTTCTCTCAGTCACTATGTGTTTATCTGAAAATAAATACGCTTAAATTCACTTTCATCTCTGTCGTGCGCCAACGGCTTAGTGGTAAAATCCCAGACTGATGCCAATTCAGTCGGGTTTCGATCCTAGCTGGAGGAAATGGGATGTCTAGCCACACTGATGAGCTGCGAAACAGTCTGTCTGTGGAATACATATTCTAAAATATATATTATATATATATATATACATATGAAATTATATATTTTAATAAAACTGTATATATATGTTATATTATATAGAAGTATTCATGCAATTAATGCCGCTAATTTACTGACGTCTTGGAAATTTAAATCAAATGTCCAATATTAAATTTTGACGATGAAGTATTTTATATCATGTCAATCCATCTCAAAATTTGAAAAATAAGAATAAACGTCATTCAAAAGAGTTGTTTTTAAGTTAATAATTTATTGATCTGTTGGCGAATTGATTTAAAATAATTAATTATATTAAATCTGTATCTCTATCTATAAAAGGCAGGCAGTATGTGTGTGTGTGTGTGTGTGTGTGTGTAACGAATGCACAGCCGCAATTTTCGACGGATTTGCACCAAAATTTACATGCACATGCTCCAAGTTAGCGGAAAAGGCCAAGTTTTTTTGCATTTCCCAACTCCCATCGATGGTGGAAATAATCCATTTTTTCAGGATTCTACGGCAGTTTTCATGTAGTTTGCGGCCATTTTATACTGGCCATTGTTCAGCCTATAGCTGGCTGCCACAAACAGACAGGAATTTTTTATTGGCCAGTTCATTGAGAGCCAACAGCTGACTGACACGAATGTTAACAGAGCATAAAAGCAAAAAAAAAATCGTTTTAGCTGCATTCGTCCCAAGTGGGAAAAATTTAAATCTGCATGGCACTTTACTCCAGTTGGCTCATTCGTCTTTGCTTAAACTCAACGTTGATTCTGATTCCGCAGAACTGGGTTGGATGTGAAAAATATTTGTTGTTAACATTCTTTTTTTCATTCATTTTTTCCAGTTACGAGTTTTAAAAAAAGCTGATCATTTTGTGTTCATTTTTTTTTAGTTCTTTTTCGTAACAGATTTAATGTTTAGTATAGAGCTTAGAAAAAAATTTACAGTGTGATATAGGCAATTTATTGGCATGTAGCAACATCAGCATGGCAAAGGGCACTCCTTTAAAAAAGGCAAGGAAGGGCAAAAATATTTTAAGTCAAGTGACAGCGATTGCTGTATGAAATACGATTTTTGAATCAAGCACACGGGCAACGCCGGGCCAAATTATTAGTCTGTCTATATTTCTGAGATGTGGTATTATATACATATTTATATATATTATTATACATGGTACAGTGGATAAAGGCGCTGGTTAGATCCAGTGACAGGATCAAAAGAGTTGTGAGTTCAATAGCTGGTTACGGCAGTGGAAAAGTTGGAGAGGGGAATTAACAGGAGATAACTGATAACTGACATCCATTAAAAACATGTCACGTGTAACTAGAACAGTCTACCCCAGCGAGCGAAATAAACGGTTTAGTTTGACATTCCAACCACCTGAAGAAGGCCGGAGTGTACAACGGCTGAAACGTTGTAATAAATATGGCGACAAAGATGAGGACAATAGTCCGAATAATATAAATAGTGTACATAATACCTCATCTCAGAAATATAGACAGATACGTTTTATTGAATACGACAGACAAGGTGCTTTGATTTAGTTTTTTTATACAAATTCTCATGTGATCCTATAGTTTTTCCTTTAAATTATAAAGACATGGCACGTTAAACTAGAACTGACTACCCCTGCGAGCGAAATAAAGGGTTCAGTTCTCCAAATTCCAACCACCTGAAGAAGGCCGGAGCGTACAACAGCCGAAACGTTGTGATAAATATGGCAACAAAGATGAGGACAATCGTCCGAATAATGTAAATAGTGTACATTAACTCTACTGTTTAATTCTTTGGACAACTACCCCCGTAAACACCACCCATATATATATATATATATATATATATATATATATATATAACTTAGCAAGGAACTGTTTTTTATTGTTTTGGTTTTTTTTTCAGAAAGAATGCTGAAGATACCAGTCATGTGCGACTGTCTCTTTTTGTGTTTGACGAAACTACTTGAAAAATAAGTAATGTCCGAAAATCGAATTTAAGTACAAGACTACCTACTTCACCATCAGATTTCCTGTACGCTGGTTTGAGACACTAATATCCGGCCTCTCGAGGCGCCCGTCCAACACGAAACAGCAACCCCCCCGTAATCCCCGACGTTACCACCCCTCACCTATAAATCTATTCTGGTATCGTTCTGCTTTCTCAGTGTTAATTACCACCGAGGAACGTCTAATGACCTTGCTGGTCGGAATATTATCGCCGGCTGAGAATGCGATGAGAGGAAATACAACCGGTCACGAAAGAAATCCCAACTCAGGTTACGTTTGAAGGCTTTGCTGCACTGAGATAAATTTTTGGATAAAGGCTATATATAAAAAAACAAGTCGCTGTCATGCAGGAGGTAACTATTCAGATTTTTCTTTACTGTCCACCGTTACGGAAAATGATAATTGAAATTCTTTTTTTGTGATAGAGGAGCTCCAAATTAATTTAAATTTAAAATTCTCAGGGCCACACACACACCCCTCTTCTTCGTGCACATGTGTAATCGCATCCAACCTAAACATCACTTTAGTCCGAAAACATTTCCGACAAAAATTTTTTGCCCTAAAATTTTTTCTGGGTATATAAAAACGAATATATCGTTTTTACACATGTTTTACACACACACACACACACACACATATATATATATATATATATAGTTTATGCAAACTTAGGTAATCTGTATGGGTAGACCCGAGGAGGATGATATCCAGAGAGCTCAATGTAAAATTCAGAGCAGATATGTTTGAATAAAAAACAGACCACGTTAAGATTCCATGTAATAGGCTATTTCACCATCACCCCTATAAACATGGAATCTTAACGTGGTCTGTTTTTTATTCAAAATATATATAATGTCAGCCACAGAGTTTCGCTGCTCTTCTGTGTGGCTAAACGTCCGCTTGCTTCTAGCTTGGATCGAAACCCGACAGAATTGGCGTCAGTCGGATATTCTAACACTAAGCCGTCGGTGGATTTTAGCGTCTTTATTTTTTAGATAAACACACTGATCAACAGAACTCAATTCGGTTTTGCCGAAGAGTCACGCTATATATATATAGTAAAAAATTTGTTCATCACCATATTTTATATGAACGCACAACCTTTAAAAATTCAAAATCAAACTCAGCGTTGCTTCTGCGCGTTCCAAAAACAATAACTCATTTTCAATAGCATTTTCGGATACAACAATACATATATTTTCGTTGTCCTCTTATTACTAAGAAAAAACAAGAACAACATCTATTCTATACCTGAAGATGTCTGTAGGAACAGACGAAAGCTTGTAGTAAAAATAAGAACTTATACGACAGAAATTTATATAAACAAGGGTCATTTCATTCATAACGGATTCGGAGATTTTTGTATATTATTTGAATTGTTTGCGATGATGGATGTCTCGCCATTTAAATCATTAACCTTTGCATTAGTTTTTGTGTGAATAATTCATATATATATATATATATATATATATATATATGAAAATTTCCCAGAGTTAACCTGTAGAAAAGACAATATTTATAAATATAAATGACAATAGGAAAACTGTAGTAGTTGCTGACGCGTTTCGTCCAATGTGAACTTTCTCAAAGCAAAAAATGAAATGAATTTATTTAAACTTAGCTAATGCACTAGTCATACATAGAAATAAATTCAACCACAATTTTGATTTTAAAAATGCTACACTCATAAAAAAAGAAAACTCATTCAGAAGGAAAATTCTAGAGAGTGCCGCCATTGAATATTACCCAAATATTAATCTACGCCCAGGCTTTTTCCCTATTTCACGTTTCTTAACAGAATTACTGCTCTCCCAAACAAACGTATATAACAATATCGTAAAATCAAAAGAAAATGTTTGAATCCGTCAACACAGCAATAATAACAATATCTACACACGTGACAGTACTTGACGTATTTTTCAGTTAACAGTATAAAAATAGCGTCCCCTAAATTCTTCCAGCTGCTAAGGACATTTTGTTTTTGTTATTATTAGTTACTTTATTTAAATAAAGTCATTTCGTTTTTTGTTTTTTTGCTTTGAGAAAGTCCACATTGGACAAAACGCATCAGTAACTACTACAGTTTTCCTATTTATTATATTATATATATATATATATATATATATATATATATATATATATAAATGAGAATAGGAAAACTGTAATATCAACCTATTATACCGTAATAAAATAGATTCTATGTAAAAGATATAAAAAAAAGATCCTAAAAATCTTACAAGTACTAATATATTCCTCACTGATCTCAGTAAAACAAAATAAAACTAATTATATATCATACTAAATTTAATACAACCAATATGCAATATACAATCATATGCAATAACTCTTCTACGTCAACTAGTGTTTTGAAAAATACCAACATTGTATATCAGTTTAAAAGATCTTTGTATCTCTGACAAAAAGTAATTACATATGTTGGCTTGACGGTAACATTATCAAGACGTCTTACACTCTATTTGTCGGATACAATTTCTATCGAACAACATTTAAAAACACATTCCTGTTCACCTTCACAATACAGGAAAATACTTGTTGATAACATCAATATACAACACCATGAAAATGATAAACAAAAACTTTCCATTCTCTAGGCCAACTATTATATTAAAAGCAACCAAGCAACCCTGAACAAAATTTATTACGTATATAGTGATGGAACCGAAATAAAATTTCGTTTCGCCATGACGCTTAAAGCTAACCTTATAGATGAAGTCTTTATACATATGAACGACAAATGTATGTTACAGTAGCCCCCCTAACTACACCCTATTTTCAGTATTATATTTAGCCTATTTTAAATTTGAGCTGTGAATCTGTGTTTAATTTAGCATGAGACCCGGTATAATTTTTTTAAATTTAAAAAATATCGAAAGTAATAATTCGTGTCTGATGAGTTGGTAGAAAAACGAAACTTAAGTTGCACTTTGAACGTAGGTATATATATATATATATATATAGACTTCGTGAATTCAAGCGTCCTAAGAGGCTGGCATCCCGCTCTCACCCTTTCACTGTTGAAACTCCTAAATGTAGCCGTCGATTCTACTCCAATAGCTCCATATCTCGTACTTCTCGCCTGTGGAATTCCCTTCCCTATTCCTGTTTCCCTGATAGCTATAATCTCCAACTATTCAAATGTAATGTCAATCGACATCTCCAGTTATGATTTAGTGATTTTCTGCAAAACCCATGGCGGCCAAAATGACCCGAACGGTTGCTTTTACTCCGTGTTTTAGTATATTTCACCGGCGAACTCTGATTTTTTTAATTTGTTTACGTGACGGTTCGTTTACTAAACATTAGTAAGAATATCTACAGTGTACTTTGTTAATATAATACCACTTACTCGGTTACCAATTCGTCAGCAGATTATTAAACTTCGAAAGAAGGATAATTTAAGTATTGGGTCCATTGCAAAGAGTGTTAACAAGTCAAAAAGTGTTGTTCACGGCATTCTTAAGGTCTACGATGATTGTGGTTCGTGTGAAGCAAGAAAGTCTACAGGTCGGCCAAGAAAAACGACCAAGAGAGAAGATCGTGCTCTAGTAAAGTTGGTTAAAAAGGACAGATATATATATATGTTTTATGTGTGTGACAGTTGAAGGACAGTGTGCAAAATTTTGACCCCATTCACGTCCACATGCAAAGAGCTACCGCGCTGACAAACTACAAAGGAAACCCCTTCTTTCCCTCCCTCTACTATCAAAGCGAAAGGAGTTATGGAAAGTAGCCACGAAAAGAAACAGGTATACAACTGCAAAGAAAGAAAAATAAATTAAAGAAAGAGAGAAAGGGGGGGAATACAAAGGGATAAGAGAGAGGGGGAGGAGATAAATATATGTCAGACAAAACTTGGCCGAGGTTTATATTTTATTTCAGCTTGAAGTAAACTTCACAAAAAGTTACTTTTTTTCCCGGCGTGCGGAATTGTGGGATCGACTATCACTAGCGATGACGTTCTAATTCCTCGACAAATTTGTCTCTCAAGAACACCCCAAGGGGTATCAGAAAAGCGCGCGTACAAAAGCTATGAGTAAAAAATCTGGATATCTTCCCTGAGGAGTTTATAAATTGTATACTGTTCAATTATTAACGTTAACAACGAACTATTTTAAATTACAAAATTGTACTTGGATTAAATGAAAAGCAATTACAATATAATAGATATTACTTAATAAACTTACAAATTCCTTCTCGTGGTCAATTTTGACGTCACGGGTACACTAGTGCATCACAGCTCTTCAGTGTCGTAAACATCCGATTGCTTCAAGACGGGATCGAAACTCGGCCGATTCAGCATCAGCCAGAGACTCTACCCCTAAGCTATCGGCGCACGGCAGAGAAAGGGAATCTTTTAACGTATTATATACGTGATGTATAAAAACACCAAATTAGCAACCAGAGCGCTCAATTCATAACTGAAGAGCGATGCGTTATAAGCAGGAGCAGTCACTGTTTTTTAAAATTCCTTTTCCCCATTGTGCTCAATCGGAGAATGTGAGCAAGTTATCCACATACAGCCACTGTTTTTAAAAATTCCCTTTCCCCATAGTGCTCAATCGGAGAATGAGAGAAAGTTATCCACATACAAGCTTGTTTGGCTGCATCACAGCTCATCAATGTGGCGAGACATCCGATTGCTTCAAGCCGGGATCGAAATTCGACCGATATATTAACAGAAAGAAAGCTGGTTATAATTTTACAGCAACAATATTCGATACAAGAATGCGCAGTTTTAAATTTACATTAAATTTTGACGTCCGGTTCATCTTGGTATATATATGATAGCAGCTAAATTAATTTTGTAAAAATTGGGGGAATGCGCATAATTGTGTGTGCGCACAGATATGGCTATCATTTTACCCTGGGGCTGAAAGACCCTTTCCGCATATCAGATTCATAAGGTACAGCCACTGGCTTCAGTGTTTGTGGTCTTGTTCATTTCTTGACATTTCCAAGAGTCTTGGCCCGCAGGCAAACATCCTCCTTCTCGCCAACTCGGTCGGTGCACTGGTCAATATCTGCGTGTGGCTGTATGGTTTCTGCAGTCCGCCAGCCTCAGCCCGGCCCGGCCCTACCTCAAAATCCGCTTTTCCCTTCCCGTGCTCTGGCCGCCGGGAGAGAGAGAGAGAGCAGAAATATCAATTCCTGTAAGTGAAACAGCGATAAACAGAGTTAAGTCTCTTTTTGTTATAATTGAAACTGATAAAGTTTATATATATATATATATATATATATATATATAAACAGGAAAAATAAAAGGAGACAGACGGCAGAAGGTTTGTAGGTAGAGTTCGCCTTCGGGATAACAGATTGGATTGATGTGAAGAGAAGTATTACTGTAATATCTCTCCGGAAATAGAGTGAGACAAAGAGAGAGAGAGAGAGAGAGAGAGAGAGAAGAGATAGATGAGATAGATAGATAGAGATAGATAGAGATAGATAGATAGAAACAAAACTGAGATAGATAGATAGATAGATGATAGATAGATAGATAGATAGATATTGAATCAGGCTAATATAGATATATAGATACGAACAGACTTAGATAGATAGATAGATAGATAGATAGATAGATAGATATTGAATCAGGCTAATATAGATATATAGATACGAACAGACTTAGATAGATAGATAGATAGATAGATAGATAGATAGATAGATAGATAGAGATTGAATCAGGCTAAAATAGATATATAGATACGAACAGATAGATAGATAGATAGATAGATAGATAGATAGATAGATAGATAGATAGATAGATAGAAACCAACAGACGAATGTAAAAGAACGCTAATAGCGAATGAAATCGAAAAAAAAAAGAAAGAAAATGCCATTAAAGAAAAACAGATAAAGAGATTAAAAGTGTGCATGTGTGTGTGTATGTGTGACAGAACTAATTTCAACTCGGAAGCTCAAAGGGGCAATTTGCAGTTCAAGCCCCACGCTCAGTTTCTCATAAAAAAAATAAAAAATTCCCAAATAGTTCCATTTAGGTGTAAATCTACAATACATGCTTAATTCGAAACTAACAAAGAAACTTTTGATACTATCAACCGTTTTGGAAAATCAAAGTTCGGACTCATTCACGTCGCGGTGGATGAAGTTGAGATTAATTCTGCACCCCTGTGTATATGTGTGCGCATGCGCCTGTGCGCGTCCGTGAGTGTTTTTTTTTATATATAAAGTCCGGCACAAGTGTAAGTCACTAAGACACCAAGTGTCGTTATTACATGACGTAATTTAATCTAGGATTGTTTGATTTGTACGTATGATAATCAAAAAAAAAAAAAAAACTTAAGTAAACATAGTAAATTGTTCCAGCTATTTATAGATCCCGGAATATTTGCTACATTCAGATTGCAATGTGTTGTATATTTGTTGATGTGCGGAAGGTGTAATGGATAGAGGGTCAGAATGATAATTAATTACAGGCGAGTTAGTCACTTTCACCGATGCATAGATACACAGTGGGAAAGCTAAGAAACCAGTTCTAACAATGTGTCAAATAGTAACCAGAATTAATGACTTTTTCTTTCTTGTTTCGATTTCATTCGCCGTTTCAGTTCTTTTACATTCGTCTGTTGGTTTCTAAACCCCATCTATCTATCTATCTATCTATCTATCTATCTATCTATCTACCCTACTCTATTCATATCTATCTATCTTAGCTTGATTCAGTCTATATCACTCTGTTTCTATCTATCTATCTATCTATCTATCTATCTATGTCAGTCTGTTCGTATCTATCTTAGCCTGATTCAGTCTATATCACTGTGTTTCTATCTATCTATCCTATTCTGTTCATATCTATCTATCTATCTATCTATCTATCTATCCCATTCTGTTCGTATCTATCTATCTATCTATCTATCTATCTATCTATCTATCTATCTATCTATCTTAGCCTGATTCAGTCTATATCACTGTGTTTCTATCTATCTATCTATCTATCTATCTATCTATCTATCTATCTATGTCTCACTCTATCTATCTCGGACTATTCCCTATCTATCTATCTATCTATCTATCTATCTCAGACTATTCCCTATATATCTATCTATCTATCTATCTAACCAGTGCTGGAGAAAGTCATGTCCCATCGTGGGTATGACAATAAACTACATCCAACAGCAAGTCCTCTGATCGGGAGACTTGAGATTTTGAGGAGCCTGGGACCACCTCTTCATTGTTGTCGTTCCCATATGCTTCCACCCTAATCCAGGGTTTTAGGGTTCCAGCTATGGTCAAATAGTGACCCCTACCTACAAAGCAGAATCAACATTACATTTTTACAATAAAATGACCAACAGTACATTTTTACAATAAAATGACCAACAGTACATTTTTATAATAAAATGACCAACAGTACATTTTTATAATAAAATGACCAACAGTACATTTTTATAATAAAATGAGCAACAGTACATTTTATAATAAAATTAGCAACATTACATTTTTACAATAAAATGACCAACAGTACATTTTTATAATAAAATGACCAACAGTACATTTTTACAATAAAATGACCAACAGTACATTTTTACAATAAAATGACCAACTGTACATTTTTATAATAAAATGACCAACAGTACATTTTTATAGCAAAATCCCAATTAATGCAACATTAAAAAGATATAAATTTACATTTTGATAGTAAAATTACCAAAAATACATTTTATGGTCTACAAATTATATATCTAAACAAAGAAAACAATTTTACCCTGAAAATAAAAATTATGTACAAAATATCTATAGCTGAAAGCATACAAAATAAGTATATGAGGATTTTGGCATTAAATAACCCATATAGTTGTTGATATGCTGCTAAACAAAATAAGCAACCAACCAAAAGGGCAACTCAAATACACAATCGCCATCCTTATACTCGAAATTTCAACAGCCTCTTTCTGATTTTAAAGACTTAGAACGACAAAGAGACAGGTTCGCCTATCGCCCGGTTTGTACTCTTCCCCGTCTTTTAAACAGCTTATTCCTTTGTTTCCTATTTAGGATTGCATTGTCGGTTCTTTCCTCCTAAAGACTTACTATCTTTCAGCCTCTCCCCCAACCAGATGTACGGGGGAGTGGGGAATATTAACATATCTCTTTTACAGTCAATAATCATTCCTTTGTGGATCAAGCTGGCCATCACATCTTGGCGTTCTATACTACAGGCCGACTCATAGTGCAACTAATGTCCAAAATTGAAAATGCTTGAATTTCAGCTACATCCGACAGCAAGGCCTCTGATCGGGAGATTGGGGCTTTGTGGTGCGTGGAACCATCGCTTAATTGTTGTTGTTCCCAGGTCCACCTTGATCCGAGGTGGTAGTGTTTGTGATCGGTAGTTTTTCTTGTACACGTCGGCGGTCACCAAAATGTTGTTGGGGGAGAATACACTCAAATCATAGGAGCAAAAGTTAGCTTCGTGTTCACGGGGATAAAAGCATACTTGACAGAAAATAAAATGTGCAGAAATAACAGGAAAAGCATGTTAAATTGTATGTTAATTCTATACAGATTATTCATATTCTTATGTGTATTGGTGTGTGTATTTTTTTAGGTTACAATTGTCTTATGATACGTGTGATAAAAAGGAGAAATTACTCTGTAGTATTACAAGCCACATCACAGGGAGAAGTTATACACGTGTTGCCCGTAACAGGGTTCCCGGTGAAGAGATTGAATTTAACGTCTTTTGGTGGGATGTCCGTATTTCCGGCAGAACAGTTTTTGTTACATGCTGGGAGTATTTTTATTATTTTAAATTTTTATTTAATTTTTTATACAACGTTTTTATGTTATTGTTTTATTTTATTTATAATTTTCATTATTATTATTATTTTATTTTTATTTATAATAAGAATAACAATAATAATAATAATAATAATAATAAGAAGAAGAAGAAGAAGAAGAAGAAGAAGAAGAAAAGAAGAAGAAGAAGAAGAAGAAGAATATCCCTACAGTAGCACCTGTTAGGGTCCCAACTATGGACAAATAGTGAACCCCAAGCAAAAAGAAAACCTTATGAAAGTATAAAAATTCATTTTTATAGTAAAATTACCAACAATAACTACTTATAGTAGAATGATCAGCAATACATTTTATCTGTAGTTGAAGGCATATAACTGCTTTCAAAATACATTTCGTTGAAGCCATAAAATTATGTTCAAAATATTTAGATTTCAGCATTAAATAATCCATAGAGGTGTTGATGTGCCGCTAAACAAGATCAACCAACCAACCTACGAGGAGGGAAAGAGAATCCCTCACATCCTCGCAAGATCAAACGTTCGAAGAAAAACCCTAAACCGCATACCCTTGATTTGGCAAACGTTCATTTTGTGGAGACAAGAAGTTCATAAACATTTTTGTTTTGATTTTTTTTTTTTTTTTTTTTACGTATAGAAAATTTAGTTTCGCATTTTTATCTGACGTTCCTAACATTTCATTTCTTGACTCACATAATAAATTCAGTATTCTATTTATCTACGTCTGAAATCAAATTAATTATATCGATTACAGAAATTGAACACAGACTTGTGCTTTTGAAAAACAAAAAAAAAATGAAAGAAATATATTGATTCCTCACAGGGGACTATTTATTATTTCATAATTTTTAAACGTCAATCATTGTTGACACGCAAGGGTTGATTTTGAGACACAGACAGGATTCGTTTTAATTTCTAAATGTAAAAGGGAAAGAAAGTTATGAAGAAAAATATTAAAATTAAAAAAAAATTAAAAAAATGAGCTGACGTGCTTTTTGCCAATTGCCGGTCACTTCAAAACGAGGCTATAAAAGTAATGGCTCCATGGAGGGCGATAATTTGAACAAGTATAGTACGGCCATTTTGTTTTTCAGTAAATAAGTAAAAACTGCTAAAAGATTTAAAAAGAAAAAAGGATGGAATATGGCTTAATTTTTGAAGTGACGACTTCTAAGTACATGTCAAATGCAAAAAAAAAAAAAAGAGACAAATATTATTTCGTCCAAATATAATCTCGTTTTTAAATCTAGTTTTTTAAACATCGTTTGTTTTTCCATTTTTTTTTCCAGCAGTGATGTCAACCCTGTACAAGGCCCCGGAGCCACTCGAGGTCAAGTGTTACAGAGTGAAAGGTGCATTTTATGCGGATTTGTGGGAAAATTGCCCAGACGAACTACAATCCTTAATTCCACCGGTTCTCGACTTCACTGCTAGGACCCGCCATGCTGCGCACATTGTAACGAACAACTCTCGTTCCCTTTGGTGAGAAGTATGTTTCTACTCGAGCAGCTTCTCCCGCCATCTACTGTTCTGTGGAACCGTCTACCAAGAGGATGTTTTGCCCGGTCACTACAATGTTAACCTGTTCAATTCTAGCGTTAACCGTTATCTTTCCTCACATATCCAGAAAAAAAAATGTGCCTCTTACTCCGTAACCCTCTACCTCGAGTGGCTTCCTGGCTTTGTACTGGAGAAATCTCACTGTAAAAAAAAAAATTAAAAAGAAGAAGGCTTCACCTTGAAAATACTAATACAAAAAAATATCTCAAATAGCATGGAAATTCGAAAGTCACCGATGTTAGAACCTACATTGTGGGTCGTCTAACCAGAAATCGACAGTACATAAAAGGGCCGCTAAGCTTCTTTTCTAAACAAAAGCGAAGGTTTTGTTTTTTCTCTCCAAAAATATGGCCGTGCAGATTGAATTATGGGAATTCTATCAATACTTAACCTCCCTTGCACCAGCCTTGAGAGAGCTACAACCGGACTCACATGAGCCCCCTAAATTTTGTTTGCGGAACAAATGTCACGATCAAAAGTCCCGTAACCCTCGAGTCGTAGGG